CCACACACACACACACACACACACACACACACACGCACACACGCACACGCACACACACACACACACACACACACACACAATCTGATCAATGGGAGGTCTGCTAGTGTTACCCGGCCATCTATTATTCACACACCATAACACTCCAGGTGCTACAATACTGGTGCTTAGTGAATAATACAGTCACTCTGGATCAAGTCAGGAGTTATGTACCAGTGCACACAATACAGACTTTGTATATGCAGTTTGCACTACTGTTTGGGAGGGAGCCCGTATTTCACATGTGGTCAGGACTAGAGGAGGTGTTCATACCTGGTCGAACCCAGAGCAAACTTTGACTTGATGAATTTAAAGATGTGCTCGTCTGATTGGAGCTGGAGGGCTTTCTGTAAGCACACACGCAAAGAGAAGATCATCAGGTCAGGACTAAAGATCAGCATGTTAAACCAAGATTACCGATGAGGATAAGAAGGAAGGAGTGTGTTGTGAAATAAGGGACAGATCACAAGATAATGAGCATATGATGAGAGAAAAAAAAGAGGAAAATGGAGAGAAAGTGTATTAAAAGATGAGCGAGGGAGGAAGAGAACACCGCACCTTGGCCAGGTAGTTGATGGTGACGGTGAGGAGGAGAACCAGGGCACTGTGGAGAAGAACTTTGCCCAAACGAACCACCAGGCTTCCAGTCTTTACACCAGGCTACATGCACACACACAGAATAACAAGAGGTTAGTCAGTGCATCTGTTATGGTCTCACTGCAGTTTTTTGCAATTACAAATGTAAGGAAAGCAGACATCTTCCCATACACACAGTATATATATGGGTACATGCATCAGACCACTAACCCCTAACAGCATGGGTCATTTCTCTGTAAATATCTAAGCACATATTAAAATCATCAATCATGCATAAATAGATTTTTATGCTCGTTATTTTTGCACATTTTGCAATCATTTATAGATGTCAGAAAAACGTCCTCGTTATTTCCCAAAATTCTTTCATACTTCGCATTGCAAACTGTTAAGATTTCAGGTCTATATTGTCTCATCCTGCGCACAGTCTGCTGCAACTTCTCACAGAGTGACCCCTACCAAACTAATTAGTCAGCACAGTAATTACTGATCGTGTTCAAATGCCCGTGGTTATTTACAACACGGATACTGCGCAGAGCACAGAGCACTCCACTGCTTCACAGATGGACATGTCAGTGTTTTTTGTGGGAGTTTTTCCATCTGAAGCCGTTCTGATGATTCTGGACACAAAATGTGAGAATCTATCAGCTTTTCCACTGAATTAGAAATAGTCTCACAGCACGCCTCTGAGATCTTCCGCCTCTGTAAACTGGAGATTTGCCCTGGAATACTATTTGTGTGTTTCCGACAGCAGGGTTAGGCAGCTGAGGTGACTGTAGGGAAACTATCAGTCCTAACTTAACAACCTCTAATTGGATGTATTTTGCCAGTTGTGCTACTGAATGCCACTATTAGCATGTCGACTCATCATCAGTATGCCAGGTGCATCTTTTTTGCAGACCTGCTGTCATCAAAACCATCCAACATCAAAGGTATGCATTTAAAGCTTAATCCAGCCATTAAATGAGAACGCTGTCTGCCAAGGCTAAATCAACATTTGCAGAGGACAGAATACCTGTTTCACAAACTAATATGCCTCAAGTTTCAAACCAGAAGTTGGATAAAATCATTATTTCATAAGTCACAAATAAGTCTGACGCAAATGCTGTAAAGGTTTAAGTAGTTCTTTGAGTAACACCATCATTTTATGTAAAAACTGAAAATCGGCCAAGCCACGGAGGGTATGAAATATAGCTTAATACTGCATTTAACAAGCTGTGTTCAACTGAGAGATTCCTAAAAATGTTGGAAAGGTGCAAGTCAATGCTTAAGTCTTAAATATGATTACCCCATCTCTAATAATCAGTTATGTACCACAGACCTTCAAGCTGGCAGTAATTAAACCGTTACTCAAAAAGCCATCTCTTGACCCAGCAGTCTTAGCTAATTATAGGCCAATCTCCAACCTGCCTTTCATTTCAAAAACTCTTGTAAAACAGATCATCTGCAGAGGAATGGTTTATTTGAAGAGTTTCAGTCAGGTTTCAGAGCTCAGCACAGCACAGAAACAGCTTTAGTGAAGGTTACAAATGATCTTCTTATGGCCTCTGAGAGTGGACTCATCTCTGTGCTTGTCCTGCTAGACCTCAGTGCAGCGTTCGATACTGTCGACCATAATATCCTATTAGAGCGATTAGAGCACGCTGTAGTAGGGCTGTGCAATATGACCAAAATCTCATATCCCGATATAAGAATTCTATCGTCCGATAACGATATAAATCACAAAAATGTAACATTTTCTGTAAATTCTGTGAATCTCGGGCAGCTCGACTTGCGGGAACGTTTGAGTCTAAGCTTTATTTTTTAGCACCTGGCGGCTCTTTTTTAATTCTCATCCGTAAATAATCTGCTCTTTCACGTGATTCAGTTTATTTTGAAAAGTCTTAACAGGATCTTGAGCTTTATTGTGAAAGGTTTATGTGGAACATAAACAAGCGTACACGCGATGCTGTTACCATCATTGTTGCTAACCACAACGCATAAAAACAGGCGCTTGTCCGTCTGTAGTGTGGTTATATTAAATATAAGAGAAAGAGAGAACTTTAAGAAATTAATATAGCCACTACAGTGACATCAAAACCATGAAAAAAATATTGCCGTAAACAGCTTATTTTGTGACACCGCGAAACAAACGACAGCGTAAAATGAAACGATAGACATTTAACACCAAGTAGTTAAACTGCAGGAATGTCTTAAAGACATAAAGACGAAGTGCACAAAAAAATGAAGTTATTGTACTCGGCCCTAAAAATCTTAAAAATATCTAAGCAGATTCTTACTCTGGATGGCATTACCTTAGCCTCCAGTAACACTGTGAAGAACCTTGGAGTCATTTTTGACCAGGACATGTCCTTCAATGCACATATTAAACAAAAATTAGGAATGCTTTCTTCCACTTGCAAATTGTCATCACCATTGATCAACAACCACTGATCAATGACCATTGATAACAGATTAGGGTACTGTTTATAAGGTTGGTGTTACACTGCAATAGGTGTAGGCTGCTGGGGGATTCCCATGAGTCTTCAGTCACATTTTCCACTCACTATGTGTTTATACACCTCTCTGCATTTAATCATTAGTTATTATTAGTCTTTGGTTCTCTTCCACAGCATGTCTTTATCCTGTCTTCCTTCTCTCACCCAACCCGTCGCAGCAGATGGCCCCGCCCCTCCCTGAGCCTGGTTCTGCCAGAAGTTTCTTCCTGTTAAAAGGGAGTTTTTCCTTCCCACTGTCGCCAACACACCTGCTTATAGGTATGATGGTTTGGGTTTTCCCTGCTGTATTATTGTAGGGTCTACCTCACAATATAAAGCACCTTGAGGCGACTGTTGTTGTGATTTGCTGCTGTATAAACAAAATTGAATTGAATTGAAGTCCAAATAGAATTTTACAGTTTTAACATTAAAAATAAACTGACTATCACAGTAGAAAATAGCAACAAAGAAACAGCAGGGCCTGGAGCAAGGAAAGGTCCCTACAGCTCCTACTTTGATTCTAAAAACATGATGATGAAGGAGGAAATCACAACAGTTTCTGAAAGAAAGTCTAATTGTTTCCAAATGTGAATCACTGTGTTAAACTGAAAAATCCATTTGGCCAAAATACGCACTACCCTGCTGGCGAGTCAGGGTCGACAACAATACACTGGGCATGGCAATTTCATCCAAGTACCAGCAGAACCATCAAAGCCATAAAAAGATTCAATCTACTTTCTTTTGAAACCTTTCTGCACCTCTGTTGGTGTCCCAGCAGTTTATGCATGTTATCAAATGACTGCCAAATTTGTCCAGAAGATTAGGGCAATGCTATGAAAACACAAGGAACAGCCCATGTACAGCAGTGCACAGGCACGTGGTATTTAGTTCTTACTTCACTCACAGAAATAAAATCCTTTATATTCTTGATAGCTTTGCTTAACTAAGAATATTTCCCTAAAAATATGCATTTTCTGAATCTAAAACACCCCGAGCCTGAACTGCAGCATAGTGCCAGTGAGTACAGACACCTGCGTGCCAAATAACCAGACTGCAGCCAAAAATCTGGACATTATCATTCATTAGTTACAGCTGAGATTTTTCTTCAAACCACCAAAATATTACATCAATTTGCTGACCGTAGATGTGCTTATGATGTCGAGAGGCTGGTGTTTAGTCCAAGGTAAGCTGCATGTTCAGTGTAAAGCCACCAGAATCATCCTCTAAGCATGACTTAAGTCCAAGACATGTGAGCACAGATCTGTGAAAGACTGCTAAAAGCAAAGCTTTTGCAATTAGAGCATGTCATTACTAAAATAACATTTATTTTAGGAATTTAAATACTTATCTCCCTACTCCTGAATCTCAGCCTTTCATCCTGTCACATTAAATGTTTGTGCAAAAGTTACTGTGATAAGACTGAACTAAATTACATTCAGACCTGACAGGAAACCGTTTCTCCAGCATACAAATTATCTTCTGCAAACACCATCTGCAGCACGCAGATTTCAACCAAAACGTAAAAGATAATCTTCTACCTGTGTGTCAACAAGTTTCCACCACCATGACTCTTTTAGTGTCAGCGCTCGGTTTTTTCCAAATCCTTACCCTCTCTAATCTCAGACTTTTCTTCTTCGTACCCATCACTCATAACGCTTACCTGGCAATGTCTGATGAAGAGCGCGGCTACTATGAAGCTCAGGACCAGTGATCCCAGTATCATGGAGTTACAGAACTGGAGGAACCACACGCTCAGCAGGCTGCTCACTTGAACGAGGTACAGCGTAGTCACCTGGAGAAAGACACCAACAACGTAAAGAAGAAGCGAGTGAGTGTTGACTTGACAGCCTGGTCCAAAAGTGGACCAATGAAAGAAGACCGTAGACTGTGTGTATGGTTGAAATCATTTGTTTTTAAATAAAACAGCAGCATGCTATGGATTCTAACAAGGTTGCAAAAAAATCAAAGAACATGTTAATATTATAAAGACATTATAATCTCATCCTTAAAGAGCACCTCACACTCCGACTGCCGACTTATTTGTGACAGCTAGAATTTCCAAAAGAATGGGAGTCAGAGCCTTCAGATATCTGAATTCTCATTTGGATTCAGGAGACAGACACCCTCTGATAAAAATGACAAAGCTTATGGTTAAGGCTGGATCAGGTGACCCTGACCCATCCCTTCGTTTTGCTGCTGGAGGCCTTCCTGTGACGCACTGAGCATTTATTTTCCACTCCTCTCATTTCCCTCCTGGTGTGTCCTTTTCACTGCTGTCACAGTTCTTTTAGCCCGTCCTTTATTTCCGAAGCAGCAGATACATCTGCGTATTTGATTTGGCAAAGGATTCACTACCTGATGTAACCCTCCCATTTAAACTGGCCTCCCATTAGATCCTGTGGCCCGCTGAGGTTGGGTTTGTGTTTCCTCTCAGAATTAAAACGGGAATCTGTCCTAAATCACACGTTAGATGAATGTGTCAACCACTACACCTTGTTCTGCCAGTTAAAAACTAGTTATTTTTCCTCGAGCTTTTCACCTCCAGCCACCGTACTCGACACACTCTTTAAATAATGACGGGGCCAACATGAGGCTTGGGAATGCTAGCAAGTAAAGGCCACACAGTATACCGAGGCTACATCAGCCCAGACGTAAAATGAATGTTAATCTATCATAAATAACTGGAAAGGTGTAACAATAGAAAAGTTGGAGGATGAAAAACTTTAAGATGCACAGCTTTGGCTCCGCTCTCCTCTCTCTGAGGTTTTTGAAGCTAATTGACCTGGTGATGCAGAAACTGGCATAAACCTTGAAGCCAGCAAAACGCCATGAATCCATGGAGCTGGTCACCTCAGACATGTCCAGCCTCTAACATATCAATCAGCCAAGAATAGGACCACCATCCTGACTGGACATTGGAAGGAAGAGATGCACATATGGAGACCTGCATGTTACTGGAGTTTCCCCGAGTTAAGTTAAACAAGGCCAGAAAGCAGCTGGCAGAGAACGCAGAGGAGGAGAAACAATGTGGAGGGGAAAAGTATCACAGAGCCAGCTGCAGGGATAATAGGGTGATGTCCCTGCTGCTGCCCGTCCACTTGGAGATGTTCTGGAAACAAGGCTGAAAACACTGCTTTCCTCAACTGTGCAAGACTCGCACGGCCTCTTGCAGACCAAATGTATCTGAAAATATCCCAGACACAAATGGATGTAGCCTAAATATTATTTAATAGTTATTTGCACATTTGGATGTTAAAAAGGAAGAGGGTGGAGGAAAGTCAGAAAGTCAGCAGAACTTTGTGAGAAAGCCGACTTTTTTCCAGGTGCACTCTCTCTCTCTCTGTGTGCTGGCAATAGCAGCAGCAGCAGCTCTGTCTCTATGAATACCACACGCAGAGGTATGCAGCATGCTCCGGGCCTAACACAGCAAAACATCAGTGAGAAGTGGCTTCCAGCTGGTGACCTTACAGCAGGCCCTAGGCCACCACCTGAGATTCAACAAGCAGGAACGCTCCATAGGTGTTCCAGCTACCTGTACAACTACCTGAGTTAAGCTACATAAAAGTAAGGCTGTGGGATACGTTTTAAAACACGAGATAAAACAAACAAAAATACACCTGGTGTGTTACAATAAACGTTCCACTTATTGTTCTTTTTCTTACAAACAAAGTAAGAATTCCAATTTCAGTTGGACATCATGGTTTTTTAATGAGGTGAGCGCCACAAATCAAATCCTACTCACCTCCACTGCACACGAGTGGAAATGTATAAGAGAGGGATAGTTTGAGCAAATGAGACAGAAACTATCTGCATTGCAAACACAGCTGCGAGCAAGTGAGGAATAGAAAATTCTGGTGTTTGTAAAGCGGGTGAACTGTGCGTGAACATGTCTGTCCTTCCAACGCTCAGGAATAGATTCCCAGGAAAGTAACATTTCTTGTTTTCCAATCAATGCAAGTCTTTTGATTATTTCAGCTTCTCTTCACCTTTTCTCACCTCTCATGATGCAAAACCTCACCTCAACCTCACCCCAACAACTCTGTTATCTCTGCCTACTCTTCAGACTTTAGATAACATATCTACTATGAGTACAGAAAGATAGCTCAATATGAGTCTCACTAACTCAGCTCTGCAACAAATTACTTGCAGACCGAAAGGATTTTTCTCATAGCTCAACAATGGAAAAACAGACAATTGTTGCCAGGACACCTAGAGTCAGCTGTTACACTTTATAACATATTAGTGTTTAATATATGTCAAATTTTTTAGCACCTATACAAGCTTAGTGCCACTGATTGGGACACATGAAACTATAACCAGAAGCTAGAAACCTGTAAATATCTGGTCCTTCTTACCTGTGTAGTTGTTAAGAAGTCACCGCAGTCCAGGGTGTAAATGACGAGAGCCTGAACCAGTAGAATGAACTGGTTGAACTGCCAGGTCAGACAGAAACAGAACGTCGTCACATACATCAGCCACACCATCACCTTCTGAGGAGGAAACACAAACATACGCGCGCACACAGGGTTAGACGCTTAATCTGCATAACTACAGCCACACTGCCTGATCACATTTCTTCTGTGCTGCTTGTACTTCTAAATTATTGAGTGGCTCGCCTCATCAGGCTGATCTATGTGGCGAGCTTGGGCTATAGCTCTGCGCTTACCTGCTGTAATGTGGTGAGCTGGGGTCTGAGGTAACAGGTGATAGCGGCGACCTGCAGCGCTAAGAAGGGCAAAGACCAGTTCTCTCTGAGGGAGATGGTGAACTCTACACGAGTAGTATCTACCCTGAAAGGAGAATGATTGATGAAGCGATGGAGAGATGGTGTTAAACCGTTTCAGCTAAACACCGTGAAGGAAACCTAACAGAAGTCTGGAACTTCTGGTGGCTTGAGAAAAAGAAAAAAAATTAAATCCTGAGATCATGGCGGCAGTTTTCAAAGCGCTCTGAGGTCGTACAGCGTTTACAGCTCCAAATGGACAGCAGAGAAAACGCCAGGAGGGTTTTTGAGACCGTTTAAACTTTAGTGCACTTCCAACAGTACAGAAAAGTAGGCAAATCCACACACCAGTAACACAAACTAACAAAAGAAGAATTTAGATCTGCTTGTCCCGTACATGCACTGTGTCTGTTTGGTTTGTCAGTGGATTAGCTACACAACCTGGAAGGTCCACTAGCGACCAACTTTCAGCTACGAAGCAAAGTGCTTTATTTATGGCAGTCAGTCACTTCTTCCACTCACTGTACCCTCATTCTCGTGATACGCACCAAGCAGACATGAGTGAGCACCTGTGCAACATCAAGTCAACTCCTTGCGTGAATTTAAAGCCTTTATTTTCCTATAATAATAATAATGAAAATAATATATATTTGACACATTCGTATTAAAAAAAGCAACTGCTGAATCAATATTCAGGATGGACTGGCAAATTCTGGCCTACACATAGACTGTATACAAAAGATGCACAGAGCCCATAGGTTTCCAGATTCCAGAAGTCTGATTATACTGATGACTATGAGTGCATTCACTCTCAAATGATAGCTTAATTTTTTATTACACTTAATTTTAGTGTTAATTGCTACTTTTAAGTCTTTGTTCATATAGCAGGGATTTTAATTTTGACATTAAATCCTCATTTAGACTGAAATAGACCACAAAGTAGAGTTCAGAGTGCTTCAAAGCTTGGCTGCGTGGTGACTGAGAAGTTGCTGAGTGTGCACTGAGCTAATCACCCCCTCGATCAACAAATTAAACAACTAACTAAAGAAATTAGGAAAATAAAATTTGTTCTTGAAACGCTTAAAAACATTCAGGGAAATTAAAAACTCTCCTGGAAACTTTTCTTTGACCAATAACGCCAAATATGTCAGAAGCCACATGATGTCACTGACATTACTTAATGTTTGGACCCAAACTTGAAATCTCTCACCGCTGGTGTTTTTGGGTGTAGGCCAGCTTGAAGGCCGTCTATTAGGCACAACCAGCTGGTAGGAAGCTAAAAACAAGGATGAAATATTTTGTCAATATTCCAGATCTATTAAGAAGTCCGCTGCTGATGTGCAGTGCATCTAACACAGTGTTTAAAACTCTGCTCACACTACAGCAAAGAGCAGAAGTTTAGAGGAGACTCTGCAGGACACGACTCTCACATAACCTGAAATGTCTTAAGCTTTTCTGACCCTTCGTGCTCACACCGCTGCTAAAAATCATGTGTAACCAGATTATTGATGTTCCCTGCAAACATCTGTGTAGTATGACCCCCACTGATCACTTGCATAATGTATATGCTCAGGTGTTGAAGTCACGGATCTAAGAAATGAAGACGATAGATGCTTCAAGCTAACAAACACCCACGGTTTGGGATTTACAGCCCATCACTTCTAAATCCAGACGATTGGTCTGAAGTGAATGCAAAATACGCACTTAAGTCTTCTCTTCCATCTGTGGGAGATTTTTAACTGAAACCTAGTAGGATGCACTCTGGGTTTGACCAAAATTTCAAGGTTTGCTACACAAGGTTTGTTATATAACATAAACAATGAGACCTTCCCATCTCTCTCGGTTGCCTTTCACAGCCTGTGGATTGATTTGCACAGTATGTGAGACACTCGGGATAAACATTCCACAAAAATACAAAATAATGTGACATTTATGCTCACTCCCAAGTGGCGGTCCAGCGTCCCAGTATCAACAGTGAGCAACACAAAGCAATCGCTTAAGTTTACTTCAATGTCAACAAACGACTGGTTCAGACCAAAGAAATTGATTTTAACTTCACATAAGGAAAGAAAAGAAAAAAAACTTTTGGGGCTTTAGATGGTATTTCACTACTGACAGCATATGTGAAGAAACAAATGAGCTACTGCTTTCAGCATTCAACAATGTGTCATGATTAAGTAGGTGGGTAAGCAAAGATCAGCTTAAGATTAGCTAGAAGAAACCCATCTAATGAAGGATCAACATCAGCAGGGAATTGGACTCACAGAGAGCTTCATCCAAACTCAAGGAGGGGAGCTAACCTACTTTGTCAACTTAACCGACTAACCATCACCAGGTGGCTAAAGCCTCAGTCACACTTAGTCATGTGAAGCTAAAAGTTACATAGTACTGACTTTTTTAACCCTCTTAATTCAAGAGCATAATCCTAGCTATGGTGGTCGCTGTAGGACAAACATGTTGTGGTCACCTAAGAGTGATGCTAGGTGTGTATGAGTCAGTAACATCCCTTCTTACCAATGACACTGATATTGAGATGTGTTTCTGAGAATAGCATACCTGTCAGTAAGGCTTCTGTTTTTGCCACCGTTACTAGCTGTTGTTAGCTATTATTAGCCACTGTTAGCTACTGCTGTTAGCTGCTGCTGTTAGCTGCTGCTGTTATCTACTGCTGTTAGCTACTGCTGTTGTTAGCTGCTTCTGTTAGTTGCTGTTAGCTACTGCTGTTTGCTGCTGTTAGCTACTGTTTGATGTCTTTTAAGTAGATATAATATCGTTGGACTCTTGGTAAAAAAAAAAACAAAACTCTCAGATGATGTCAGAATGTAATCAAACTGTTATTAGAGAAAGTGTGATTTTTAGGACTTTCAAGCCTAACGTTAGCTAGGATGATGTTAGCTTATAAACAGCTGCTGCTTTTTGTTGTTTGGGTGGTTCGTTTATGAAAGCATCAATTTGTTGGAAGATATAAATACACACTAATCTATTTATATTTATCAGTACAATATCTTTTCTTTGTGTTACCTAACCTTAAAAAAAAAAATTACCAACTGCACCTTTAAGAGTTGATCCATAAAATAAATAAAAAAAAGGACTCTTTGTTATATTGAGAGAAAAACTGCCATGACAGAGTCAAGTGCGAGAAGAAAGGAACTAACTCTCTCCTCCTTCACTGTGTCACGCACACAGATAGTTATTACTCACCTGTTAAGGATGTACCAGACCCCGGTGAGCGCACCAGCAAGCCAGGAGCCAGACAGAAGCCACGCTGTGAGGTACAAAGCGATCACATACACAGCTTGGAGCGAGAACACTGTGTAAATATAAAAGTACACGGGCTCCAAATATGACTGGGCCACACACACAAAAACACAGACACACACACATACACAAAGGGAAGCCATTAGTTCATTAGGCAGCGCGATTGAATGCACAGAGTTGACAACAGTGACAGCGACTGACTCGGGCACTCGAGAACACTGTGGCATTTTCAGAGTTGTGTCTGATATTTCACTCCCTGACATTCTTGTCTCTCGGTGAGACAGCTGATGAAGCTTAGTCGCGGTTTCTCGGTTAATTGTTATGCCAATACAGAAACCTTTTCCTCCAGTGTGACAAGTGTAAGGGCTCCGAGTCATGTCAGCTAAAAAGACAGAAAAACAAAGGAACGCCACTGCGCCTCAAACACCTTCTCATTTGACTACGATTATTACAGTAATAATGCCAAAAGAAAATACATTTTTCAAAACACTGGAGAGTGACTTAACTTTCTCCCCCCCACCCCTACACATAAAAAGGATGTGTTAATTAACAGAACAAATGACAAAAGTCCCAGACAGTCTAGCTGGTGTAGCTGAGGTCTTTAATCTTTTGTGTGTTACCAGCCGAGATGACAGGTGAGTGTTGTATTACCTGTATGGGCAACAATCTGTAGAGAACACTGAGAAAGACCTCTTGGTAGATATTCATTCGCTGCAAGAGGTTAATGGTCCTCTTGGATTCTGTCAAGTTGTCATGGATCATTTCTTTGAGCCCTGCAAACACAAAATTCACACACACAAACACACCAGTTCTTTAATATTTTTTTTTTTTTACAAACTGATAATAATTATTGGCTTTATGACAGCCAGGGAGGAAGGGGTGTTAATGTTTCTTGAAGCTCACCTGGCTCATTTATTTAGCTCAGACTCGTGCCATTAGAGAAAAAACAGGGTCGGAAATTTGCATCGACCACTAAAAAACGCTGCGTGTTCTGTTTGAAGTTAAATTCCTGCATTGCTCAAAGCACACTCGGAACGCTTCAAACTTCACTTCATTTCCTGAATTTTAGCAAACTAAATGTAGTTTGTTCTGTTTTTCTCCCAAACAAAATCCCCTAAATGACCCAAACATCAATCTAATAAATAAAGCATGTGAAAATTTCCTGCAGTGCTTTATTGGAGATGGGTTGTGGGGCAACTTCATCCCCCATGAAATAATAAAAACAAGCTTTGAGGGAAAAAAAAAGATTTTTGGTTTAAAACATTAAAAATGTAACAAATGCGCCCCGTGTACAGACGGGTGTATCCTCACCGCAGAGGCCTGGATCCTAGTCAGCCCTCATCTCACCACCAAAAAAAACGGCAAAAAGCCAAAAATATAAATCTTCTTTTTAAGAGAGTTGATTTGAAAACTCTTAAAGTTTTTGTTTTTTCTCGGATACGTTGATTTAGGTTTCTCAACCTTCTTCATTTGCATCGACATCTCTTTGGACCTTAAATTGAGACTTAATGGCCAAGACCACGCACCTCGTCTGTGCATGAAGATGAAAAATGTGCCATTTTTGACAGAACTATTCATTATTCTGCTTATAAATTGTTACAAACTAGGACTCGAGTTTCCACTAACTCAGTAATAGAAACACAAAAGCACGTGTGCATTTTTACAAAGCACATCATGACAAAGTGACCCGGTTTTACAAACTGCACCTTTAAGGACTGCTGGATTTCCACTGTATGTAACCGATCGATTTCCTCTGAGTGTGTGGCTGATGTGGCTCATAAATACAAACCCACAGAGCGTTATCATCACCTCTGCTTTAGTGCATTTCAAGTGCTCTCGCTTTTTGGGCTCGATGGTCTGCAACTTTACTGTTTCAGTCCACTCTCACCTCCCGTCAGTGCGGTTTTCAGCAGACAAAGACAGGCAAAGTTAATGACTTGCTGTGGAACATAGACGAGCTCTTAGCAGCTTTTTACAGCCAGATATTTTGCTGTGATGCTGGTGGGAACACATCAAAGAGGAAAAGAAGGTAAATATTGGACTTGGATTTGCTAAGCTGCCAAAAGCATTACTCCAAATGAATGCTAATGTGGGATGCTGGATGTGTCAACGGGGAAATATTTAAAAGGACATATTACATCATTGTTTTGCACACAGCTGGTTTCTTCTCCATTAAATGGGAAAAAAGCCTCTGTTTTCCAATAATTGAGGTTTAAACTATAATTTAGGTTTATTACTACTTAGCTGCCAAGGGCATCAAAAGTGGAGAGGCAAGGGGCCCTCGTCTCCCCTCACTTTATGCCCCGCTCTCACATCCTTCAAAAATATTTAAAGTTTAGGTCTTCTTGCTCATTTTTAACCAAATCTTTTTTTTCCATGCTTTAGCTGGTCAGACGCGTCTCCCTAATATTTGTTTTTTGGTTTTATTATTGTGGACTCGCCACACGATTTAAAGCTACTGTACTACATTACCTCTGCAGATTTTAAATTCATCTTTAGACTATGCTGGGAATGGCGAAGCTCCTCGGTTCATCCACTGACTAGAATGAGCTGTTTTTGCTCCTCCCCCGTTAAACTAACTTTCTCTTTCTACTGATTGGCTGCCTCACATGAAAAATTATAGAAGGCAAATGGGTGGGTGGGGCTTCCTGGGACAGGCAACGTAAGACGACCGTATTAGGTATATCCCCGCTCCATGACATGACATCATACATATTCAAGAGAAGAAACATAGACCTATTTATGAGGGGCAGCCAATCAGAAGAAAGCTGGTTGAACAGGAAGCGAACTAATCTGGCTTCTTTCAGACAGAAAAAAAAAGTACAACATAATTAATAATTATTTATACTCTAGTGAAAGTAAAAGCTCCACTTTAACATGAAAAACTCAAAGGGAATACACCTGGAATGATCTTTACTATATACCTGGATCACTAATACCACCACAGGAGGTCAGAATGAAAGCACAACGTGTTGGTGATTATGTTAGGCTGTGTCTTGTTCTTTTTTCCTCTTCCAAATGAGATTGACGAAGTGGTGTTTTGTCTCTTGCCTTGTCTGACTTTTAAAGCTATGCTGCTACATGTTCTAAATTGCTTTGGTGCAATGGCATTATTACAGAAGGGAATGATGGCAAGAATTACCAAAATAACACTAACATATAGAAAAGAATGACATTTTAACATTACTCCGTCACAGAAAACACTGCTGCTGGTGTTATATGAGCTGATGCGCGCACTGATAGCATTAATCCATATTGGTTACTCCATGCAGTATCATCACCATGTACTGGGTTTGACTGAAACAAAGTGTGACATGGAGCGAGGAGCGAGGGCTGACTTTCTGCTGCAGGCTGGGATGTGTCAGCCTGATTTCCGCTGTGTTCTTGATCCATGGAAAACCATAAAAACCAGCACGGTTTTGCATAAACAAAGTGCACATTACCACCCACACGCATGACCCACTCGACTTTGTTCATTCATTTACGCCATTTGCTGTCATGCCTTTCTTTTTCCACCTGACTCTGTCCTGCCTTGCTCGCTCATCTGGATTCTTTCTCCTATTTTAGCTCATTTATTCATTACATCTTTCCTTCACTTATCCCTCCTTTTCTTTCATTTCTTGCCTTTTCAATTATTGCTTCCTTTCTCACTTTCTTCCTATGCCCATCCCTATCATTTCCCACTTCTTCCATTACCTGCCGTCACTTCAGCGCTTCATCCATAACACCAAAAACCTACAGTAGGTTGTGCATAACGAGCTGCTGTGCTGTGACAGAAAAACAAGGGAACATAGAAAGGGACGGGAAGGCAGGTCAGCCAGTTCCTCAACTGATTAGACTACAGCTCAATTATTTGCCTTAGTGGAAAATTGGCACATTTCCAACAAGGAATTTTACATGGTAATGGGAACAAAATAATTAGGCTAATTTCCCTCAGACCAGACTGTGCATCATGAGAAAAGTGCAGTGATTTGTTTGGTCGGGTGGAAATAATGGAGTGAAAAACAGTTTTTCCTTACAAGTATGGATAGAGAGAGCCACCTGGTGTTGGCAACCATGTACAAAGGAAGGTGCTAACAAAAGCTAGCTTCCTAAAACAAGAAGTTACAGAAAAACTGTAGGTCCCGGGTGATGCTATGCTGTAGTGACACAAGACTCGGCGGTATCGACCACGGCAGCACGGCACTGGTTACCGCCATTTCAGACAGTTTATTTCTAGACAGCTTTAAAGATAATAAAAATACATTCTTTATTTCCACAAAGTTCAGCTCTCTGGAGGACCGTGACGAAGATCTGGAGAGTTTGCAAATTTATACTGAAGAGTGTTTGGAGCGAGTTGTTATGTGGAAGCCGAACCAGCAGCGAGAGGAGCCTGAGGACTCCCCCGAAGAGACCTCTACACATTTGGCTGGACTCTAACCTGTGTGTGTTTCTGTGATATATATACTCTCCCACCCACATCCACTTCAGACTGTTTAAGTGAAATCAAGATCTGGTTTACTCACAACTCTCTTAAACTTAATGGCAATAAAACAGAATTCATTTTAAGGCACCAGATCCAAACTGACTACAGTTCCAACCAGTCTTTCGTTATCCATTGAAACTCTGTCACACCCTCCCCTCAGGTTAAGAGTCTTGGTCTCATCCTCGATAGCACTCTGTCCTTCACAGCACATGTAAATAATATCACTCGGTCTTCCTACTTTCATCTCCGTAATATTAACCGCCTTCGTCCCTCGCTCACTCCAAACAGTACCTCCATACTCATCAATGCTCTTGTCACATCTCGTTTAGATTACTGTAATTCTCCTCTCTGTGGTCTACCTCATAAATCCCTCCATAAATTGCAGTTAGTTCAAAAACACAGCTGCTCGTATTATCTCCAGAACTAGATCCACTGAACATAGAACAGCTCTTAAACAGCTCCATTGGCTCCCAGTTCACCTCCGTGTCAATTTCAAGATCCTGCTTCTCACTTTCAAAGCGCTTCATAAGCTCGCTCCTCCATATCTATCAGATCTTCTCCACACATACTCACCCCACCGTACACTCCGCTCTTCTTCAGCTTCCCTTCTGTCTGTTCCACCTTGTGTTATTGTAAGGTGACCTTGAGGGTCTTAAAGGTGCCTATAAATAAAACGTATCATTATCATCCTCCACCAGTGTGTGAATGCGAGAGTGAATGAATAGTGGCATTGTAAAGCGCTTTGGGTGCCTTGAAAAGCGCTATATAAATCCAATCCATTATTATTATTATTATTATTATTATTATTATGATGATGACCGAGGAGCTCGGTGGAAGCTTGAGTTTACCTGCATACATCGTTCTCACTGTGTCACCTGTTGACCACCTGCTGCTGGTTTGGACACACTGACTGGTGATAGTCACAGTTTTGTACAAAAAAGGCAATGGACGTATGCCAGAGTAGGGCTGCACGATTAATCGTTAGAAAATCGCGATCTCAATTCATACTTATGTGCGATCTCATTTCCAAATGACAACGATTTAAAAAAAAAAAAAAAAAAGACGACGACGATTGTACCGCATTTTGATCCGGGACGTAATCTGCATGAAAACAAGCGCTCACTCTTCCTGCTCAACAAATGACAAGGGCGGAGCCTTATACCACGTGATACAGAAGCTGTGCCGTGTGATGCTAAAATTAGCAGGGAAAAAACAACGGAGAGCACGTCAGGGATGACGAGAAAGTGACAGGAGAAAATCCGTCCCGGTCAACCACCCAAACATCAATAACGGGAACCTTATACAGCGCTTCCCTATACACGTCGAACTCCCGCAGGCACAAAGAAATTACGGAGGCTATCACTTATCACCTGACCAAAGATATGGCTCCCATCAACACTGTGCAAAACGAGGGATTTAGGAAAATGATCAACACCCTAGACAAACGCTACACAGTGCCGTCCCGCAACTATTTTTCTATTGTTGCACTACCTGCTCTATACACGCAGCGTCGAGCAACGGTGGAGACGGAATTTCAAGCAGTACAACATTTTGCGGCAACAACAAAACGTGAGACATTTGTTGTTTTTATGTTTATTTATTGTTTTTATGTTCAGTCTCAACTGTTACGAAGTTGATGTGCAGTTAATAAGTGCAATAAATATTTATACTGGAAAAGAAAATCGTGAGAGAATCGTGATCTCAATTCTAAGCCAAAAAATCGTGATTCTCATTATATGCAAAATCGTGCAGCCCTACTCAGAGAGCTGGGCTGCTGGGAGCTTGTGTTTCCCTTCAGAGTGACTTCAACTATTTAAAATGAATAGACGGGACTTAAGAGGAAGGAGCGAAGGACACCGAGCAGCAGATCAGGCATGATAGAAACAGGCCAAAAGTTTATTAAGGAACCAAATTGGAATAATCTGTTTCCAGCAGGCTGGATAAGTAAGTGCTGTTTATTTCAGTATGAAATTTATTTCAAAATTGATAAAATAACTCTCTCTGAATGAAATTGTCAATGGCCTGAATTCATTTATTGAATAAACTTTTTTTCTTTTTATTTAAAATAAACTTACATAGTAATGGAAACACTTGTATATTCCTCATTTCTCTGTCTGTATTATTGTAGAGTCCACCTTACAACATAAAGCACCTTGAGGCAACTGTTGTTGTGATTTGGCAAATAAGAGAAGGAGATATAAATAAGTGAGGAGATGGGACTGAACAGGGTGTGATAATGAGGGAAAAGTGAAGGGAGGAAGACAGAGCGATGGAGGGAGTGAGGTAGATGAGAATTGGTGGAGGGAGTAATAGAAGACAAGAAGAAAGGGAATTACTTCAGGGAGGGAGTCAGGGAACAAAATATGGAACAAGAGGAGATACTTTGCAGGTCTTATGTGTGAGACTTGCAGTAGTTAAAAAAAACACTACTTCAGATATCAATTTATAATGATTTTTAGAGATTTTAAAGTTGTTTTATGCTACCTGCTCCACGCTGTCTATTTATTATCATCATCATCATCATCAGGAGCATCCCTTTGCATCATGGATGTGCAGCCGAGGCAGCGATCTGCAGTTAATGCACAAACACACTACGGGTTCATCCCCCGAGTTCGCTGATGTTTTTACGCTTGAATGATTCTCAGGTAATTGGTAAATGGCTAAATAGATTAAAAAAATACCGGCAGCCACCAGCGCTGCCCCTCCGCCTCCAAGTAGATACACGTATGGTATCCATTTAAAAATTCCACGTCAGCTTGTACTCAAGTTACTGCACTCACAAGATTCAGGAAACATGACCTCTGACCTTGAGGTCACCGGGATTCAAACCCGACTGTGATTTTTTTTGTAGATGAACCAATGGTATCTCACACACACACACACACACCACTTTTCGATTAACACCTGGACACTACAGCTTCTTGTAACATCCACTCCAGCTTTTCTTTCCACACACTATTTTGTTGGAGTGGAAAGATCTTGGATCATTTTGACCCTCTAAGTTGTGTTTGTGAAGAAATGACAACTGTCATGAATACAAACCTGCGATCACAGTGCATACCTTCTTGTATTGATGGGGCGTGCAGCATTTGTTTATAGTAGGAGTAGTATAGTCCACACTCTGTCCGAAAGGAGATCTCCCTCTCCACTTCCTGAAAATAAAAAGAAGGATTTTAGTTTCATGAAAGCAAACACTTCTGTTCTCTGTAATATGGAAAACAGATATCCTGGCAAGACATGACAGAAACATGGAGGATAAAGGCAAAGCAGCTAATACACTCATAATCCTCTCCAGTAATAATCAGACAGGTAACACAGTGTGTGAGTGCGTGCTTGGAGGATGTCTTCCCAAGAGACTTCCTGCTCGTCATGCGTGATTACTGCTCCTCGGGGGGGTAAGAGGAGAGAGCAAACGGCGAACAACCAGCTGTGGAATATTAAGCCAATCATTAATCTATCATATTTAGTCTGCAAATTGTTTTTGCAACTGTGCTTGACAAAAAGAAACGCTTTGATTTTAGCTACTCATTTCTTCTAAAACTCACTGAAAGTCTGTCAAATTGTTTCTCCAGATTTACTGCAGCCAAATCCGGTCCGAGCAATCTCCAAATCCTCCGCTTGTTAAAAACCAAAGCATGTTTCCGAGTATTGCTGCAAAGCATTTTATCTGATATTTTTCCAGTAACAACTTCCAGTAATAACTAAAACCTCACAAAAAGACTATAAAATTAGAAATGTATATAACATCTGTCCATTAAAACCAATTCATCAATAGAAAGGATTTTCCAATAACAACGTTCAATTTCTAACATTCATACAAACTTGTACATAAAATGTTCTGTATTCTGAACATATTTCACGCATTTCAGAGGAGAAAGATCCTAATTTAAACAGCCTGGCTCATTCTGCGGTCCTTATATCTGACAAATCATCATAACCAGTCTGTGGAAACCTGAGAGCAGTTATTTGTTCTGTAGCCATCAGGGAGCAACAGGACAGGGGATCCCAATCAGATCGCCCACCGAGGCAGGTGTTCCCACCAGTTAATTAATGTCATTTACTTGGTTGAAACCATTAGCTGATTAACAGAGTGTAAATCAGCATGGGTCTGCCTCCTGAGCAGAACAGCAGAAAACCACTGGTTCATGCAGATATGATCAGCTGCAAAAAATTAAATACGCATTTGGACGAGCCTCTGGAAGAAAAGACGAGACTGATTCTACGAGCACAGGGACGGCCCGGAGCGCAAGAACGATGAGGAGGGCAGCGAGCGTTTTTAACCTCGGGACTCTCTGCAGCCACAGGCGCTCGGTTATTGTGTTCTTGTTGCTCCGTCAGAAAAATAAGACTACATCTGGAAAAACTATCAAAGTTACTGACATCATACAAAAACATGGCAGATTACAATAAATATTTTGATCATGGTAAGAGCATTTTGATTAACAACGGGAAAGCACGTTTCGCAACTAACCGTTAATATGGAGCGAGGTACAAGGTCAAAACATTTAGCTGCTCCACGTGTGAACTGATCCCGTTAAGTCACAGACGTATCAGCTACGAGCCTCAAAAGGAGGTCAAGTATATTACTGGCACCATCTATGAAGAAGCTGTTTCAACACTATCTGCAAATGAGTTCACCACATCATCTTTGCATGATTTAGAAGCAAATAAACACCCCAAACTTGAAAGAATGAGTTCACAGCTCAAGAAATGGGAACATCCAGGAAGCACTTGGAGTCACAGATTTGACCTTTTGCAGGGAGATGGATGGCATCTACATCCTGTGTTTAAATGAAAGCTAACAGACCGTCTGAGAAGTTGATGGAGTGGCAGCCCGTTGAGAGTGCGAGCCTCCCAGGACTCATCCATACATTGAATGGATGCACGGCATTTCCACAAATACATGTGGATTAATAGACATGTATATAGAAATTGTGTTGTTGCCACTGGAGGCAACAACACAAACATAATGTTAAAAGTTGACAAATAGACACCTTCATAAAAACTTCCTACACATGAAGAGAAAAATTAGCTATAGAGATCCAACATTTTCGTACCAGGGTCTGCATGTGACCTTCTGTGAAGTCAGACGTTTTAACATTGGCGTCTACAGAGACTGACTCGAGTTTGGAGACGGCCTCTAGTGGCCATTCCAGGAACTGCACTGATTTGGCAGAGTGGCATCTTGGTTGAAGAGATATTTCTTGGTGTTTAAGATCATTTCTAACATTTCTGAATTATGCAGCACTTTTCCAACTGAGCAGGCGAAACTTTATCTCTAACTTCAGAAAAGAAAAAAAACAACAGAGACAGAAAAAAATAAATCTATGCCACTTCAACTATGAAGGAGTTTCTTCATTTTGTAGATAATAACAGCATCAGATGCCTGTTGCTTGCTGGATCTTTGTACCGTGATCTCACCGTTATTGGGGCCACTCTGTAACGACCTAACAACACAGAAGGGGCGGGAGCTCTGACTGTGGTTGCAGATTGGACTACGGTGTGCTGTGATGGTTTTCATTAGCACCGTGCTGCAGACTGAACCCAGGAAGCAGACTGAACCTGCCCCCGAGGCGGTCACATCGAAGCAGAGCTCGTTTGTAATGTGTTTGGTTTATCAATCGCTCAAATTGAAACACTTTCTATAAACACGTAATAACTCCTACCGTGAGCTGCGAGAACCACAGCAGATTCTCATGTAAGCCGTTCACACACCAGGCCTGAGTCAGTGCCAGCAGCACAGCCGCTAACAGCCCTGCTGCCATGAAAACGCACTGTTGCCAAGGCCGCAGGGGTGAAACGCCTGAACCGGAATGGGAACGGGAACCGGATCGCCCAAGCAGAGAAACCCCTCCTTCACCCCCCTCCTGCGTTCCCGACAGAGCGTTATGGTTACATCTGCCTTCAGACGGCGCATCTTGTGAAAGGCCATGTTTTGGCTTCACCCTCTTACGGAGCTCCATTGCCTGGGAACGCAGAGATTATCAATAAATTCTTGGATCCTTTGATGAGCTGAATCCAGGTAGATAAACAGGACGCTCCCGGGTTAAGGTACAGAACTGATCCAAATCCATTACGGAAAAAAATGTAAATGTGGTGTGTTTTTCTCTTCTTGAAGTCAATCCAAATAAATTCGCTTTTTAATCGCTTCAAGTTCCCTGCCAAAGGAAATATGCAAAAGCTTCCTCTGAGGGATGAGCAGCTACTTTCCTTCCCAATCCTCCTTTTGAGTTTTGCCCAAGGCAAAACAAGCCTTGGCTTTCCACCAAGAACTCTGATGAGATGGCTAATCCTCAATTTAAATTAAGGTCAAAGAGAATAGGCCTAGTTAACAAGTTCACACATTGCTCATTACGCTGGAAGCCAGTACACTTCTCAGAAGGCACCGATCCTCTTCTCTCTGTGTGTCTGTGTTACCATTTCCTCCTTATGGGTCTTTGAATAACTCCCATCTCTGTTATGTGATGCATGAAAAATCCAAGCCAGGGTCCATCCAGCATTTCCTCTGCTCTATGTCTGCCAAAGCCTAAATACGAAGTGGCCTCTGCCTCCATCGAACGCAGCCGGCAACTTCAGAACAAAAAGCAAACAGAAAGACTAAACCCTGCGAACAACAGGACAGGCTGTGGATAACTGCAGCAGCCAGAGGGAGGGAGGGAGAAGCGAGTTGACTACTGGTGACCCCTCGTCTATAGAAGCACACGTGCTTACAGGAAAAGAATAAGGAGAATAAGTGGGGGTGGGGAAACATGGGAACATCATTCGGAAAATGCAGGGAACAGTTGTCAGAAGGTTTGTGGATCTGTGCGCGCGTCTGAAATAAACCCAGGCGCTGCGGCCGGCACGGATGTGACCTCACACCTGATGAATTCAAGAGGCCAGATTAAGCCAGCTGTCTCGCTACATAAGAGGACAAGAGATAATAAGCACTGTAAGGGTATGAGCGTGAACGAGAGAGAAAAAAATCCTCCAGACCCTTTCACCTCAGGCTAACTCTGATAATACATTCCCTCAACAGCATGCTGGGTGAGGAAACCACATATGAGATTATTAAAAGCAGTCCCCTTTCTGTGAAGCTTTTCCCCAGGCCGCCGTGCTCCGATACCATCAGTCACGTAGGGTCAGGTCGGGTCAGGCAGCAGCACTGATCAGGCGGGACTCCCAAATCCACAAATTACTTTCCAGCATGTTTCACAGTTCTTTCCAGCCTACTTGACCTGAAGACACTTCAGACAACGTGTGTGTGCGTGTGCATGAAACAGTAAATGGGAGAATAAAAGTGAGAGAGATGGGTGGGGTCTCTGAAGGCAGGAAATTAAATATATCCATCCAGACGGCCCAGAGAGCAACAGGAAGCAGTTCAGGGTAAAACCAGGTGCACAAAACACAATTTTCTGTGCCTTGGAAACTTCTTTTGGATAATTCAGCATGTTCTTCTGTCCGCACAGCTAAATTTAAACATTTGAATTTGAAAGTCAATTCCCTCTGTTTGGGTCTCCACACAAACTGAGCTGGTAGTTTTTGTGGTTTTCTTTCATTTCACAACCACAATCAGGGTTCAACAAAACTAGTAGTAATGATTAAAAAGAACAAACGCTGGCTGATGGATCTTAGTTTTCATTTCTTTGCCATAATCTTTACATTTGGCTGATTTCTTTTAGCAGCAATACCTGCAGCACAGTGAGTGTTTAGTCCACTCCACTTAAATGAAAGCCTTAGTTCCTAATTATTTTTCTGATAGAAACAAAAATAAACCTACTAATCTTACTGGTATACATTAACATTAAAAGGCCAATCCTGCTGCATAACATGCAGTGCAATAGTGAGAAGACTACATGACTCCATGAATATACGTGTGACAGTACACAGATATACAAAACACAATCAGCAAAGAGACATGTGATGCATAACGCCGTAAGGTCATAGGCTACCATCACCACCTGCAGCCTGAGACAGGTGAGTCTGAGTCTGTCAAACTTTGTCACAACATCGACCTGATCAGCCTACCGACAGAGGAACAGACTATGGGAGGGACTGAGCGAGGTCACTACTAAATTTCATTCCCTGAGACAGATTAAAAAATTTAAACAAATCAAAAAAATCTATCTGAACAAGTCACCCAACTAAAAAGCTCTGGAGATGAAAATTAAAGCCAAAGCAAAAGTTTTTAGAACAAACAAACAAACAAACAACAAAAAAAACTGCCGTTCCCCTGATGGCCACCTGAGGTTGGCTCCTACAGCGAGTCCATCCTCATGCACTCTCATTTTAAAATATCCAACTTTAGAGGATTGAAAGGTATATCTGCAGCATGGGACCAAAACAGTTTTGGACATAGTTGACAGCTTCCTATTTTATAACACCTCTGAATGGGGTGATTTTCAACTGGACAAGGTAGTTAGGGGCGTGGCCACATTGATTTATAGCACAGGAAGCTGTAACTGATCAGCGTCGACTAGGCCTCATTCACTAATTCTAGTGATTGAACCAGAACCCTTCACTGTGATTCAGCTATTGGTATTTTTTAGCATGGTTGCTAATATATTTTTGATGAGATTCTAGTATTTTATTTATCAGTTAATTCATCCTTTAACTAATTCGCCAGTATGTGTGTGTACACATTCCATCAGTTTAAGAACGTAGCCTGCAACAGCCCTAAACACCATAAACTGATACATCCATCCATATTAGCTGTTCTCATGAGCTCAGTGAATTCCAGGGTGGTGATAGGCCACCTGTGCAACAAGTCCAGGTATGAAATTCTTCACCACTAAATGCGCCGCAATCAACTGTTAGTGGCCACAAAGGCTATGTAAACTCACAGCGCAGGGTCAGGGGATGCTGAGGCACATAGTGCGCAGAGGTCACCAACTTTCTGCACAGTCAGTCGCTGCAGACCTCCGAACGCCATGTGGCTCAAGAGCAGTGCATAGAGAGCTTCATGGAATGGGTTTCCATGGCCAAACACCTGCATACATCAGCAAGCACAATGCAAAGCATCAGGGGCAGTGGTGCAGAGCTGGGAATGCAGCAAAGGGTGGTCCAACATCACATAAACCCCTATGGAGTAAGAATGGGATGTCACTCAGCCTGATATATACACGTGTGAAGGCAGATGAGCGAATCATTTTGGTAATATAGTGTATCAAGTACAGCCGCTATCTTTACCGCATGTCTGTGGCAACTTTGTGAGATCGTTTTGCTGAAATAAAACGAGACACAAGCCTGTCTGTCTTCTGCGGTTCTTTGTTAAAGGTAATCACAGCATTTTCTTTCTCTAGAAATATATGCGTCATCGCCGCTCGTCTGCCTGACATCCAACTCTTTCACGGCAGAAATAAACTAATCATGCTTCACTTCACCCCTAGCATTAGATGTATAGGAACTATTACTGTAGCTTAAAGTAAGCTACATCTGGGCACCAGTTTAGCTCGCAGGTGACCACATGCCGCAGGGCTAAATGCAGCAGCGCAGGTTCAACTCCAACCCAAGGGCCTTTGCTGTTGCTCTCTCCCCATTTTTTCTATCTAATGTTCAATTTATTACATAATAAAGGCCAAAAATTAACTAATATATGGTGAAGCTTACCATCTCCTCTATCATCTATTGATACTTTGTAGGCGTTACTTTCTCTGAGTGATTGCTGGATAACGTTTTAAGCTATATCTATCATTTTGTCAGATGTCCGTTATAAAATCTGCATCGCTCAGACTGAGTTAGTTGAAAATGGCATTCACACCTGTGTGTCCAGATCTGTTAATGCTGGCTGTGAACACTGCCCGAGGAAATTTTTATACAAAAAAGAACACCAGAGATGAAAAGTGTTTATACCAGCGAGTCAAAGGCCAGCAGTCCTATTGAATGGAGATATTTAATATCATACATCATCATAAATACGAGGCCAACAGAAGGCCTAAGTTGTTCAAAGTTTGTTGCAGAGACAGTGTGAAGAGCAGAGCTTGAAAGAAAATATCCAGGGTAGGTTTTCACCTCCACACAAGCGAGAGATGATTGTGAATGTTAGGCTGTCGGTTTCAGAAAGTTAGAGAAACTGTTGGACATCAGCAGCAGAGACTGCTTATGCATTTTCATGTTCCCAGACAGTCTCCCTAAAAAACACTGAATGTTTTAATGCTGAGCCACAGCCACGTTTTTAATGTAACCGAGCAGATTCGGCCTGCTCTGTGCGAACATAGACTCAGGCGCAGGCTTTGATTGCATTAACAGAAGGAAACAGTTCACATATGCATGCAGTGTGCGATGATGTCAGCCAGGAGCCCACTTATTTGTGGGAACATTTCAGGGAGATGTTCTCCAGGCCTGTAAAGTGACCTGCATTTATTATGAATGAACACATCTGTCTGCTCCCCTTCACACACACATAAACAGAAAAAAAGCCCGCGCTGGACCGCAAACTGTGTCCACACGGATTCCGATCAATTAACTCAAAGTGCCGCTTTGTGTCCCTGTGACAGAAGCTCACAAATTACCGTGAGCACGGCGGCGCTATACGCGGGCAAGATGCATTTCACATTTTCATGAGAAACAGAATAAGCACCTGGCTGGCCATGCAGGCAACCAACAGAGGAAGTAAACTGATGACGCAGCCTCGTCTGTTCTACACAAAGAGATGAGTCGTCCTGTGATTGGGATAGAGCTTCAGAACCAGACGTGTCTCTGGTGTCAGGTTATGATTCAGTAGTCCCTGTGGGAAGCTCCCACTCTAAAGAGATTTACAGAAAACCAAACGGTGCTTTATCTTCAGCCTTCTCTTAATAACTTCCACATGCACATAACAGTCGGCTTTCATGCAAACCAACCTGCAACTTTAGTCAAAGGAAGGCAATAAATTCATGAACCAAACATTTATCTCCAATTTGTTTTCATGGGTAAGTATAAAGATATTTCTTACAATGTTTCAAAAGTCCACATTACTCTTTGCATTTTTGTCTTTAAATGCTTAGTTATGAATAAAATGCATTTGGACATTTTTGTAGTTTACAAGTAGCATCATGACAGAGTTGAATGTGGGAACCTTTATTATTGACAGTATTACACTGAGAGGACTCTGAACACTGCAGTCTGTCAGACACAGACAGCTGGAGGCACCGTGGACAATTACTGGTTTCCATTATACTTCTTTGAAGTCCACCTGAGAGGCACATGTGTACTTGATACAGTGCTTAACAAATTTATTAGACCACCACCCAATGTGAGGTCTGTGCCACAGCTGCCCTAAATTACCAGTACCGGTAACTGGGTCATTCCATCTCAAAACAACACAGGCCTTAAACCTCCAACTGTTATGGTCCAAAGACTGGACATTTATAATGACTGCTGCAAAATGTTGGCTTCATGTATCAAATAATTTACAAGATTTTTTTTTTTTTTTTTTAAAGGTTTTTGACCCACTTTAAGGTCTTCAACATCTGGCAATGTATCAACATCTCAAAAACTCAAAAAAAGCCCCCCTCCTCGAGCTTGGTTCTGTCTGAGGTTTCTTCCTTCCTATTAAAAGGGAGTTTTTCCTTCCCACTTTCACCAAGTAATGCTCTGTTTGAATGTTGTCCCGTATTGAGCCTCTGTATTAATGTCTTTAACCTTGAGTATAAAGGACCTTGAAGGGACTGCTGTTGTCACGTCACTGTCCTGAATCTGATAGTGAAATTTAGATCACCTGGACTACAGCGAGCTCGCCCTGTGATCGCTGAATCGATTCATTCTTGAGTCCAGATGCCAGATTTGCAGAGATTTCATCAGCGTGTTCACCATATTTTACCTTCATTTGTTTTTCTCCTCTGCTATGTCAAAAATGTATAATTACACACATAATGGCCTCGTTAATGTCCCCAATTACTGCAATAATAGAATTTCCTACAAGTATCCTGTAGCTAACCACAAGCAGATGCTAACGTTACACCACATTCTACAATGTAGAATCCTCTTTTTTCCTCTTTGCTATTTTCCAGTAATGAAAACTCAAAGGTTACTTAGAAACAATGAGCTTGTTAGAAGAAACAATGTCTCAGATTGTGGTTTTGACTTACATAGCTGCGCATCTGGTAGTTCAACTTTCCATCCCTCCCTGTGATAAACAACTTCAGAGCAATTTTCACGCAAAATATTAACCTGCAGTGTTTTAACTTCATATGTAGATTCATATGTAGATTACAAAACACCAAAACAAACCACTCAAAAAAAATATAATGTTCTTGCGTCAGTTGCTGTAGGAAAACAAATGATTCATACTGCATCACTTAATGATGCAAAGACAATTTATGGCAGCAGCATTGATTCACACTTTGCCCCAGTTTTAGTACTAATGCAGACATCTTTTCTGCCATGTCACCCAATTTGAAATCTGCTATGTATATCTCAGCCAGAACCAGAGTGCTGCTGATGCTCTAAAGGGGGGCAATTATAAATGACATCACATTTGGCAGAGCACAATGTTCTGTTGCTGTACAACAATGAACAAACCCTGAAAGGCCTGAAACAACCGCGATGATTCAGGATCTCATGTGGTTCACATAACAGCCCTGAAAATTCATCCCATGAAGCGCGTGGAAAAGCAATCATCACATTTTAGGATGAAGTGTTTATGACGTGTTTGAAGGCCATTTTAGGAAGAAAACTGGACGAGGGGATGTCCCTGGCACTGATGTCGAAGCTACGTTAGATAAGCGCAAAGCGCGTGTGGAAATTCTTAGCTTAACGGTCACACCGTGTGACACTTTTCCATCAGTTAATATCCACATCTGTGATGTGGTTAATGAATCGTGCACATGGATATCAAATCCTCAGATAACTTTGTTAGACAAGTGCCAAATACATCAATCCAGGCAGCTTTACTGCTTTTTAACAAGAGCTTTATAAAATTTAAACAGCGCCACATATTTCCAACTTTTCCAGCTCCCACTGACACAAACTCACTGGCAGTACTTTAAGATAAGCTGTCACTAAGACATACAGCCACCGAGAGGCTAATTCTTATTGAGACATCTACAATTCCCTATCTCTAAAAAAGTTTGGACATTGTAGAAAACTTAGATGAAAACATAAAGAGGTGATCTGCAAAGCCTTTAAATTCCCACGCTCAACTTGAATCTGATTCCAGCAGCACATTTCAAAGAAGCAGTGTTTACCACAGGGTTGCATCACCTCTTATTTTTAAAAAACTCTCGGTAAGTGTCTGGGAACTCAAACCAGAGGCTGAAAGTGAACTTCTTTCCTGCAGTTGCTAATAAACAGTATAAAAGATGGATGTAGTTTCCAGATTTGCCAAGCAGCAAGGTCTAAACCCGTATTTTCTTTTCAATGACCAGCAGGGGGCGACGATTGGAGCTGCAAAAAACAAATCTATGAGACAGGGTCCCTCAGTCCCCTCCTGCTGGGACCTCAGTAAACATTTCCCTGATTACTTTCTGCATAATGCATAAAACAGGAAGTCTATTCTGTAAATCACAGTCATTCTTTAGAAAGGATTTGCTCTTTCATTAATGGCTTGTTTCTTCTTTCCACTTCCACAGTGTCGGGTCTGTTACCGTAAACAGTCTTTACCTTTATGTTGGAAAACCACAGGTCGTTCTCATGTAGCGTCGCCACGTAGATGCAGCAAAGCAGGCCAAGACCAACAGAGACAGACCAACCAACTGAAGTCCAGATTATAGCTCCCCATGACCAATCACCTGCAAGAACATTAGCATGTTAGCTTTCACTGTAGGGTAAAATTTAACGTGAAACAGTAACACTTTTCTTTTTTTACTGATGGCTGGATTTCATTTAGCTGCTTCAGCTTCAGGGTCATGTTGCTGTGCATGTTGGCAGATTCAGCTGCGTACAACCTTCTCAGAGAGTGTACACCTGCTCCAGACACTTCACCGGGAAAGGCGAGAGGTTCAGTATTGTAAAATATGTCGAAAACAGCACACATTTTCAGATAGTCTCTTCTAAAAGGCGCTTGTGGTGTTCTATTCGGACACCCGCGTGTAAAATGACAAAAATGAGTCGAGTATGAAAAAAAAGAAGAAGCTTCAGCCCCTTTGCCACCTCTGCACAGCTGGCCACCCACTGTGTGAAGTGGGTGTGAATGCTAGATTGTTGGTTTCACAGAGTTACAGTGGGGCAAAAAAGTATTTAGTCAGCCACCGATTGTGCAAGTTCCCCCACCTAAAATGATGACAGAGGTCAGTAATTTGCACCAGAGGTACACTTCAACTGTGAGAGACAGAATGTGAAAAAAAAAATCCATGAATCCACATGGTAGGATTTGTAAAGAATTTATTCGTAAATCAGGGTGGAAAATAAGTATTTGGTCAATAACAAAAATACAACTCAATACTTTGTAACATAACCTTTGTTGGCAATAACAGAGGTCAAACGTTTACTATAGGTCTTTACCAGGTTTGCACACACAGTAGCTGGTATTTTGGCCCATTCCTCCATGCAGATCTTCTCGAGAGCAGTGATGTTTTGGGGCTGTCGCCGAGCAACACGGACTTTCAACTCCCGCCACAGATTTTCTATGGGGTTGAGGTCTGGAGACTGGCTAGGCCACTCCAGGACTTTCAAATGCTTCTTACGGAGCCACTCCTTTGTTGCCCGGGCGGTGTGTTTTGGATCATTGTCATGTTGGAAGACCCAGCCTCGTTTCATCTTCAAAGTTCTCACTGATGGAAGGAGGTTTTGGCTCAAAATCTCACGATACATGGCCCCATTCATTCTGTCCTTAACACGGATCAGTCGTCCTGTCCCCTTGGCAGAAAAACAGCCCCATAGCATGATGTTTCCACCCCCATGCTTCACAGTAGGTATGGTGTTCTTGGGATGCAACTCAGTATTCTTCTTCCTCCAAACACGACGAGTTGAGTTTATACCAAAAAGTTCTACTTTGGTTTCATCTGACCACATGACATTCTCCCAATCCTCTGCTGTATCATCCATGTGCTCTCTGGCAAACTTCAGACGGGCCTGGACATGCACTGGCTTCAGCAGCGGAACACGTCTGGCACTGCGGGATTTGATTCCCTGCCGTTGTAGTGTGTTACTGATGGTGACCTTTGTTACTTTGGTCCCAGCTCTCTGCAGGTCATTCACCAGGTCCCCCCGTGTGGTTCTGGGATCTTTGCTCACCGTTCTCATGATCATTTTGACCCCACGGGATGAGATCTTGCGTGGAGCCCCAGATCGAGGGAGATTATCAGTGGTCTTGTATGTCTTCCATTTTCTGATGATTGCTCCCACAGTTGATTTTTTCACACCAAGCTGCTTGCCTATTGTAGATTCACTCTTCCCAGTCTGGTGCAGGTCTACAATACTTTTCCTGGTGTCCTTCGAAAGCTCTTTGGTCTTGGCCATGGCGGAGTTTGGAGTCTGACTGTTTGAGGCTGTGGACAGGTGTCTTTTATACAGATGATGAGTTCAAACAGGTGCCATTCATACAGGTAACGAGTGGGGGACAGAAAAGCTTCTTACAGAAGACGTTACAGGTCTGTGAGAGCCAGAGATTTTCCTTGTTTGAGGTGACCAAATACTTATTTTCCACCCTATTTACGAATAAATTCTTTACAAATCCTACCATGTGGATTCATGGATTTTTTTTTCACATTCTGTCTCTCACAGTTGAAGTGTACCTCTGGTGCAAATTACTGACCTCTGTCATCATTTTAAGTGGGGGAACTTGCACAATCGGTGGCTGACTAAATACTTTTTTGCCCCACTGTATAGAAGCAGCTCTCTCTAATGTGACTCCAGAAAGGTGTGCAGGGAGTTGTTTCCTGTTTGACCCTCCAACATGCACTTCATAACTGCAGCTTACTGGGAAACTTGACTAGAACAGAGCTACTTTCAGTCTTTTAAAGGTTTTAATAACACCCACTGTGACGAGTGAAAATATGTGCTGTGTGTTCCTCGTGCAGTTTCTGCAGAAACTGACTTTTTGCACAACATTGTAAATGTTTTGAATTGTCATAAAAGTGCACATCGTGATGCACGTAAGTGCGACACCCGCTAGTTTTCATTCAGTGGACACTTGTGAAATGAAGGTTACAAACATAATATGACACCAGAGTCAATCATTTAAATGTTGAAATGAAGAAAAAAGCTTATCAAGCTTCAGTCTCCTTTAGGGATGAGACACAAGAAAACATGACTGTGCATGCATAAATACAACAAAGGTGTACGATTGTAGGCTTGAACCCGCAGAGTGATTTATGAAGGCGTCAATAAAAATCACACTGAGCAGACCTGCAGTGGGTCAAAGTCGAGGCCAGATATTGACCACCATCTCCCAGGAGATGGCTCTGACCCAAAAAAAACCCTGCAGCAAAGTGCTTGGTTTCCAGCCAGTCTCCGCCCCCTTCTAATCGCCCATCGCCACCTAATCTGCACAGGTACTGGTACTCAATCAAGAACTTGCATTTGAGAACCGGCCCACATGAGAAGCTAACATTTTGGGTGGCTTCAAAGTGTCCTTGAGCAAGACACTGAACGTCAAATTGCCTCCACTGATGTGTGAGTGTGTGTGAGAGGGGTAACAAATAAATCACAATAAAGTCCTGTGTGAATGTGCACTGCGGGCTAAGTGTGAGCAGAAAATGTGATCTAACTATCAGCCCAGGCATTCATGTGTTGTTTACGTGCAAATTTGATGGCCGCAGCTGCAAATAATGATTTCAGCGTTTTTCATTTGACACAAAAGCATCGCACACATAACAATGTCTCTTTTTTGAATGCAGAAATGCACAAAAGGTGTAAGATATCAGGCTTTAACCAGCAGAGCAATTTATGAAAACATCAGTAAAGCCACACTGAGAACACCTGTAGCAGGTTAAAGTCAGGGTCAGATCCTGAACACTATCCCTGGAGCTCGAGCTGGCTTTGGCTCAAAAAGCCCGCAGCAGGTGCTTGGTTTTTAGCCAGTCACAACCTGATGTGACTTTCTACCCAGTGCAACACCAGTGCCCAATCTGGAAATACTTCTACTCATTTCCACCACAAAAAAAAAGTTTTAAAATGCCTGGATTGCACTGACGCAGTGCCAGCACTGCTGCAAAGCCAGTTCTGCTTTGGTGCCTTGAGAATCAGCTTTAAAGTCAACAGATTTGAGAACCAAACACTACAGGTGGAAATTGGGGATGCTTCATGTGGGAACAAAATAACAGCAGACTGCAAATCAAACCCACTGACAAGTCCTCAACTACTTTGGCAGAGGTAAAAAGCCTGGTACTGCTGCCAAAAAGCTGGCACCAGAACAGCACCAAGAACTTCACCAGTGATCGGCTCAAACCTGCTGAAATGTGTGGTAGAACTGGCACTTGCAGCTTGTTGGTGGGAAACATCTATGTGTGGCTCAAGCCTGAGATGGGAGTGCGGGGTGTCTCACTCACCATGCAGGATCTTCTCCGGATGGTGTTCAGAGCAACAGTTGTGCTGCTGGGACTGAAGCTCTGCAGCAGGAGAGGGCTCCTTCCCCTTGCTGCCCTTCCTCTGACGCAGGGTTGTCATGTTGAAATGCTGCCAGCAGAGCGCACACACAGGGGGAGGGGGTCTGATTATCCACACTGATACACATGTACACACAGGCAAAGAGCAAACATGTGTCCCAACATTACTGCGCTCAGAGCCAAAGCAAACAGGTCTTTCATTCAGTTCACGATGGACGGATGGACGGATGGGTGGGTGGATGGGGGGTGGACAGGCCTGCTTACAGCATTTCCTGGTCACGCTGACGCCAGAATAACGTGCAAATAAATAAAATAAATAAATAAATGAGATCAGCCTATCGACAACAGATTATCAGAGAGCTCTATTCATTCTACCGTTTTTAAACCGGACCAAATGTCGCGCCAAACATAACCGCAGATGCGCTCCAGCAGAGGATCATGAGGGATGTGGGGCGAACAGGGAGCCACATAAGACGGTAAAGTAGATGAGGCGGGTTTGAACCGCCACTGGGAAGCACAGACACGCAACCACAGCCTCGTTATGGTGAATGTGCGTTTCACAACACAGAGGCGCGCTCCCGCGGTGGACGAAGGACTTTGTTTCTGCCTTGACATCAACAAAAGACGAAAACGAGTCGAGCCAACGGAACATTTAGCGAAGCCTCACCCTCCTCCACAGCAGCGGCTGGCAGGATGCTCCGACAGCTCTCTCTCCGCCTCTCTCTTTCTCTACGCCTCTCTACCTCCCTCGCTCTTTCATTTTTCTCTCATTCTTTTTTTCACCTGCTGTTAAAATTCAGCGGTCAGCCTCGTACCGCACGGGGTTTAACGGAGGGGACCGGAACACGAGAGGACCCGCCTTCAAAATAAAAGCGTGAGGTGAGGGGGGAGGTAGGTGTTTCGGAGATTAACTAAATAATTACAAAACTAAAAAAAATCTAAAATTAAAAAAATAAATATGGAACAGGGGCCGCGTAAGTTAGTGAATATTTTTACTAAAGAAAAACAAAAATCACTACAATTATTTGGAGACAGTTTTTACAAACTAAGTGTAACAGATTTGCAGACAGTCCATACACTCAAAAATGCCA